CCCATCTTAACAAAATATTCTTTAATATTGCGGTTGTTAAATATGCGTCATAATATTTTCATCACCTCTGTCTTAATAAAGTTATTTTCTTATGTTTCGTTTGCCAACTATCTCCTATAAATACTTCATTTTGTACGAGTGTATGTCCAAATGTTTCATGATGATATGATACGATTTGAATGCATTTGAAAGAGTTGTTAGTTGCTAGTTAGATGTTCAGTAGTCTCTTTATTGATGAAAGAAGACGCCAGGTGATTGTCCGTAGAATATTTTGATATTATATTAGCACGATGTAAATGCTGTTCATTATTATCCATTCCCTTTGATCATATAATCTTTCAACTGATAAGCCTCCAATGTTGTGACATGTTTTGAGATATGAGAATGCAGATGGTTGGATTCATCCCCATGAGGTTGCTTACTAGTAGTGGTATATGTCAAAAGAAGATGTTTTTGATCCAAAGAACAAATTTCATAACGGATGGAGGTAAAATTTTGAACGAAATTTTACATGCAACAAACGATACTGTTGTAAAAATAAAATGGATTAGAGTATAGTTTTCTATAATTCACAATAACTGTTGTTTTTTTTCAGTTCTAAATTTTAATTTAAACAGAAGTATTTTGTCCTACATAGTCATAAATTGTTTAATGTTCAAGAGTAGGAGATAATTAGTTTTTCGACTTTGTTTCTTCTTATTCAGCTTCTATGATATTCAAGCATGCCTGATTCAAGGACTTGGCAAGCACCGTTGAAGTTGATCAAGACTGGTCACGATTCTTTCGAGAGGACCGGCACTTATTTACTCGCAAGAAGGTTTCGTGTTTGGGGCAGCTTTCTACACCTCTGTACCAGACTTGAAGTTGTTTCATTGTTGAGAGAGGTGGATATGGTGTCTTGTTAGAAATTATTTCTACTTTAATCTTCCAGGTATTTCATGTAGTTCAAATCATGAAAATATTTAAAGTGAATGGGCCCGAAATGATAAGACTATGATAACAGTTTTTTTTTAATTATTTCAAGATAAAAAATATATTAAACTATGTTAAAACTTGTAAAAGTTAATTTTTTTAAACAATAAAGATTTATTCTCTTTTATGATCATTGCCTATATATTTATTTAACCGTTTTTCATAAAGGAGCTGGAGATGTGACTTGGTGACTGAAACGAATTAGTAACTTTGTGTTGACGGCAGAAAAAGAAACATCCTGCATACTCGTATGTATGACTTTTTGTGTTGAATTGTCATAAAATATAAATAGATAAAACCCCTAACAAATCTGCAAATTGTAATTTAATTAAAAAGAATTTTTGACGAAAATTAATTGGTAATGTGAATTAATTTAAGGTTTAGTAAAGATTGAAAAAATCAAATTTAATTCCTAAGGTATATTCAAGCTGATGGTTAAATCATTAATGTTCTTTTAAGAAGTGGTTATAAAAGCTGTACGCACTAAACTATCTATGATGCTTTATTAACACTTTATCAGAGCATTTTTGCTTAAAAAGGTTACTATTTGTAGATCTGAGCATGGTCAAGGAATTAGATATGCTGTGTCAGTAAAGATTACCTGAGGTTGATGAGGTAAGTTTATATGATATTATAATGTGTTATTCTTGAGTATTTCTATGATAAAGTTTATTGCGTCTTAAAATCTTGACAAAAGATGATTTCATTTACACAACACATGAATACAGATTAATAAAACAAAATAAATATGTAGTTTTTTATCATTTTTATTAAAAAAGATCTTTATGAAGAATGAAAAAAATATGTAAGTTATTCTTTGTCTAACAGTTGTGACATACCAATATTTCTTTAATATATCCCTTTCTCTTGACTCCAAGCTTCTGAGCATAATCAAAGTACTTCAACGTATTATTGGTTGACCGTTTTTAATTTTTTAAAAGCTAAACATTAAACAAACGCTGTTCTAACGATTATTATAATATTCTTCCATTATAAACTCAATAAACTCAAAAAAATGGCATTTAAGAAATTCAAAGGCCCATTAAGCCTTAAAGATCGTACACTTTTCATTTTTAAAAGTTTTTAGTTTCAAAAAGTAACTCATTGGCAAAATACCTGAACTACCCTTTGTAACTCATGGTAGGACACCATCAATACGATATTTTCCTACAGAAGAATAAAATCATTACATTCATTTGAGGCGCAATGCGCCCTTCATATATCTCACAGAAATATCCTGCAAGAATTTATAAGTTGGATGTTTATAAGACAAATGTGAGTTATAAGACAAATTTGAGAAAAGCTGGAAGTTTAATTTCAAGGGCTAAAATGCAATGAGAAAGCTCGGAATGACTAGAAAGGGCATAATTAACAAAAATATTTTTTTTAATTTTTATTGCTGAAATGAGATTGTAGGTTTCTTTAATACACATGAACATGGCTCAAATATATTATACAAGTGCTTGGATTCTCACCTAACTTTGATATATATATATCTTTACTGTAGTTGGCAATCAAAACATCGATGAATTATCTAAAAGCTAATTATGAAATTTTATTATCCCAACAGAGCACAACAGGGATTCACAGGAAATACTGCTGGCTAATTTGAGCATTATACTGAATATCCACACATACGATAGCAAGAATCAAACTATGCAGGTAAATTTATGTGACCAATGTATTATATAGATAATTGTTGGTCATTTTCATTGTTAATTAATAAATTCTGTAATCCCGACAGCAAAATTTGATTCGCAATCGAGTTAAAATAATTATGTTTAAACTAAAAACTTTATATAATGAAATAAATATTTTTCTCAGTAAATACTTGTATACAATGTATTTCACTATGAATGATATGGTCACAGGAATGATTCTTCATGACGGACGAGAAATATAATCGATGTTGAACATTGAATTCCGGAATTACACGTGTATGGACACTAAAGTGACATTTACCATAGAAACTGTCTTGCCACTGGATGGGGGAGAAGTGTAGCGATTCTGTGTGGACTCAAACCATCCAGTATATTGAAGTGAAACAGGGTCTTTGCGATTATACAAACTATCAAACTAAACTTCTTCCAACGCTGCCTAGTTCTAGTAACTAGCATGTCCCAAGCCATGATAAAAGCAGAGGGGGAGAAATAAAGTTCATAGTTTATGTCATTGTTCTCTTAACATAAACAATGTAAATGCAAAATATTTACTTAAATTTTCATCAAAACAAGACATAAAAGGTATTACGTTTTGTATATGATATATCTATCCCGTCATAACTTTACTACCTATATTTAAAGTGTTCTTTCCCCTTTGGTCTAAAATTTTGATTTAAGTTTTTTATTCTGTCTTTGAATTTTTTGGATCATAACTTAATTAATATTTGATCATCTCTAACGTCATATATGGCTACTCTCCTGCGCATCGGTCGAATGTTCCACTATCGCCCACTGTCTGAAGTAAGGTGAGTGTATTCAGTGAGCTGCGAAGGGAGCGTATAATTGCTTATTTCCACTTGTTGATATAGCTATCACTTTGTAATATTCAATGACTACGTGTTTAATTATCAAACAGTAAACTTTAATAGTTTGTAACATGTATGTATTAAATTCAATATTTTATTCGACAAAAACATAAATGTTTATCGCCCATGTAACATATGTACTATGACGGTACAAATACAAGTCATATTAATTAATTCAATCAAAGTCTGTCGACAATAACAGAACAATAAGATACTAAAGATGACCTATTTATAATAAATTCATATTATCAGAAAACTTGTGCTTTTCAGTGATGAAATATCTTTTTTCAATCGTACCGGAAAGCACATAATACTCGTACATCGATACTCCGCAAAGTCATTTCCGGGGCGCCAGACGAAAACATAAAAATACGACAAAGTAAACATTGTGTCGTACTTTCGCTCCGCGGGACGCAAAATGATGACTCGTATTTTCGTGTTTCCGCCAGGCGCCCCGCGGACCGAAAATGCTTTATGGCACAAATAGGCCACCATATTGATGTCCAGTATACATTCATGTAATTTTCTGTAAATAAGAAAAATGGGCAGTTTAAACAGTAGGACCTATACCGTTACATGTTTACCTTGGCTAAGCATAACTATAACTTACTGTAATATACCGCTAAAAAGAGGTTAAATCTGAATGCCTCCAGATGAGCCAAAATATTTCAAGAAAATAAAACTTGGAATAACTGTACCAAAGTTTTAAGAAAAGTAAACAGATTAAAGATTCTAGTGATAATTTATATTTTATGTGCAATTATATAATGACTGTTGTTTCCAGTTTTAATCACCATGACCCGTGTTCACAAAGATTAAATTTAAGGATCAGGATCAAATTTAAAAACTCAAATATTCTCTATTATTTATCATCATAGATTAAATTTTCAATATTAAGTTGATAAAACTGGACTAAAAATAGCATGTTTATGAAAGTTTAGAGTAAATTTACTATTGTTATTTTTACAAGAAAATGGCATTTTATAGTTGATCCAAATTTTGATCTTGATCCTAAAATTGATCCTCATTTTGATCCGATTATTTTTGTATTTGTTTATTTAGTTATTATAGTTGATTTTATCCCAAAATATATATAGGTTGGTTTCTTTGCAAATAAGCAATTTTTTATAATTCGAATATGTACCATTTATTCTAGCATAATACAATCAATTTTAGTTTTATAAAACAATGAAAAAAAATTAGGATCACCTGATCTTGATCCTGATCTTTTCTTTGTGAACACGGGGCATGGCATATTTCTACTGCATTACTAACGCAGTATAGGGACTATTTTTGCATATTTTGACCTCTTTTTTGGTATACGTGGATAACAAATGCCGGTTGCAATGTGTCAATTACTTTCTTTGTTTATTTCTCAATATTTTACTTTAAGATACATTTTCAGAATTTCATGAAAATTAGCTTGGATGAATCTGGACGCGTGCTGCTTTACGCGTGAACGAAAATTAGTGGTCTGTAGCCTACTGAAAAAATCTTGTTGGATTATAATACCATTACACCGTTTATTTGTTTACATGTTGGTACAAAAACTGCTTTGTGAATAAAGGACAAATCGATGTGCCAATCCGATGTTACCTCATTAAGACATTGATTTGCAATGGGAAAATTATTTAGCAAATCAAAGCATCCAAAGCAAAAGTAAGACGTCGTCATTTTTAACATTTCTGTAGACTTGTAGTTGTTTTATACATGATAGCAGATAGAGCTTAGTCAGCTGTTAGTTTAAAATGAGTCATACGGTAAATTATTTGTGTCACAGGGTGAGAAAAATGTGCAGCCTGACCGGGAATCGAACCCGGGACCTTCGGAATACCGTTCCGCGGCTCTACCGACTGAGCTATCCGGCCGCTTACACATCTTCTCCCCTAAATAGTGAACAGTTCTGAACCGTGACATACTCCCCTGCTATATTGAAATTCGTCCTCGAATTTCACAGAGTTACAGAGCAATGTAAATTAAACTCTGAGCTATATCAGTCACGGTCCCCCGTTGGGCGCCAAATGTCACAGGGTGAGAAAAATGTGCAGCCTGACCGGGACTCGAACCCGGGACCTTCGGAATACCATTCCGCGGCTCTACCGACTGAGCTATCCGGCCGCTTACACATCTTCTCCCCTAAATAGTGAACAGTTCTGAACCGTGACATTTGTTTTATGTGACATGATATTCTTCCACATAATGACCTTTCTGTTTGTCGAAAATGTTAAACTTGAAAAATGCATGTAAAATTTTACAGGTGCATTAAAATGTAATGTGAATTAAAATTGAAAGTAAACAATCAGGATAGTAAAACTGGTCTTGTAAATGCAAGTTATAATGAGTAACGATAAATCTATTATTATTGATCTCATAATTATGGAACACGCGTCTCCCTATTTCCTCTAAAGTTGCTCACATATTTTAAATATGTGTGTTCGAAGAGAAGGCATCTGAATTGATGAACTTTCTCGAAAAGTTTTAAAAAATTCAGTCATCCTGTCTGTTGAATGATTATGAACACTGGAAATTGAAAGGGAGGTAACTTTCAATTTATTTTATTTATAAACTCATGTAATGCTGAAAAAAAATGTCTTAGATTTAAAGTTTCCATGCATCAAATTGTTTACAAAGGGCAGACAAATTAATAATTTATTTTGTTGGTAAACCCGTAGCTGATTAAGCGTCATTCTGAGTTGTCTGAGTAATACTGTAATATCTTGCCGAAAACAGACCTGAAAATGAGGCCAATAAGAGTGATATTTGACCTAGCTTTTTGTAAAAAAATAAGATAGAAAAACAAGTTGACTGTTAAAAAGGACTGACCTCAATCAAGCAGCCAATTAGATATTTTCAGCCGTAATATTTTAAAACAGATGATATACATGGGACATAATATAAAAACTGTTAGCAACTATAGCTCAGTGCGGTGCTATCTATTCATCCAGTCAGTCATAAACCTGAGATACCTTAATCACTTGGTCATTTTCACCTCTTAGAAGATATCAATCACATCATTTTGCAGTACTCAAAGTGGATTTGATAGCCTAGATACAGCTGGAGCACACAGGGAAGACAAATCGTATGCTAGAATGAATAGACATGTGTCTAACACATATCAACAGCAGCCAACTGGTGAAGCCATACATTCCGAGGCTGTTGTCAGCCTTGCCAAAATACAACCTGGACTCTGTTTAGCAGGTAGTAAGGACAAGGTACTGTATGGTTAAAATTTTAGTGGGTCGAAAGGCTTTTATGATATAAATTGTGCACAAGTGTGACGCCGTGGTTGTTGGGGCGTTACTTTTTAACCTGTATTTTTATATAAAAGTAAGACGATAGTTTAAGAAATAATTTTAACTTTATTTAGCAGTCACAATTTTGATATGTGTATATACAGTATTACGCATAATGTGTATTAATATTAAAATAATACAATTTTAATGCATATGTAATTATGTATATTAAACAGAGAAGATTGAAATAACATAAAGTTAAAACAAAATAAACTAATTAACTATTATTGTACATAATAAATGAACATTATTTAAGCTTTAAAACAAATTGATTGAAATACTATTTTATTGGGAAATTTGTTTATATTAATAGAACAATTTATACTTTTTAAAAACAACTAATTTTGGGGAAAAGCTGTTTTATTTAAACACTTGCTTAACAAGTAAGAAGTACTAAGGGAAAGCATTCATGAAGATAAGATTATAATGATTGACTTACAAAAATTAAAAGCTTAATATTAAGTATGAACATTTTTTTAAAAACCTTATGTTTAAGTATATTAAAAAGAGTTAGTAAATTGAATTACTTGAAACAAATATATCTTCATGTATGATATTAAAGTAACTTGAAAAATTTTTTTAAAAGAAATAATAGAATATACAAAAATTATGTTCATTATATTTATGTACAAAAACATTTACTATTTAATATTGCTACAAACAAGAGTTTATTGTAGCATTTATTAATTGAAATGAAAAATTTACTTTAAACAAGAAAAGAATAATAAAAGAGGACTTACCTATATAAAAGTAAGACGATAGTTAAGAACTAATTTTAACTTTATTTAGCAGTCACAATTTTGATATGTGACTTGCTAACTTTCGTCTTGACTTTTATACAGGTAGATTATGACATTGAGCCCTACAAGGCTTTTAGCACCATATGTTTTTATTGTTTAGAGTGGAAACTTAATGTAAATGTTGAAAAAACGAAAATTGTTGTTTTTAAAAACAGAGGTCACCTATCTAAACGAGAAAAATGGTTTTATAATGATAACCTTATTGAAACAGTAAATGCCTTTACCTATGTGGGTTTAAATTTCACTAGTAAATTATCATTGTATAAAATGTCTGAAAATTTAGCTTTAAAAGCAAAAAAAGTATTAGTTATCCTTTTAAAAAATATGTATAATCTTTTACCAATGTCAGGTTAATCTTATTTTAAAATTTTTGACTCAAAAATATGTCCTGTTTTGTTATATGGGTCAGAAATATGGGGACTTGAAGTTAGGGATTGTATAGAACGTGTTCAAATATATGCATGTAAGAGATTTATGAATATTTCTTTAAAGTCGTGTAATGCAGTTGTAATGGGAGATTGTGGAAGATACCCAATGTATATATATGCAACAAAAAGATGTATTAAATTTTGGATACGGATTTTATATATGGATGATGAGAGATATGTTAAAAAAAGTTGTTTTATGCTTAAACGGTTAGATGAACTAGGTTATAAAAATTGGGTGACAACTCTACGATTAAATCTCTATAAGAATAGTTTTGGCTATATTTGAGAACAACAAAAGGTTGAAAATGCAAACTTATTCCTTACCCTTTATGTAAATAGATTAAAAGATCAGTACATGCAAAATTGGAACAGTGAGTGTTTAGAAAACAGAAAGCTAGTATTCTATAGAAATTTTAAATGTAATATTAATTTTGAAAAATACCTGGACTGTATAGATATATTGAAATTTAGGAGTAGTCTTGCTGCTTTTAGGTCATCTTCTCATCAATTGATGATAGAGAAAGGAAGACATATTGGTATTCCAGGGGAAATCCGTTTTTGTATACACTGTCGATATGAAATTGAATGCGAATTTCATTTTCTGTTAAAATGTCCTTTATATAATAATCTACGTCAACAATTTATACCAAATAAGTATTGGGAACATCCAAATAATCATAAATTTAACTTATTAATGTCATGCAAAAGTGTTGAGACAATACGAAACTTATCAATGTTTTTATATTATGCATTTAAACTGCGAAATGAATCTTTATCTTAAATGTCTTTATGTCAGTTGCTAAATCTTATTACATGATTATATGTTTTGTGAAAATTGGCTAAAATGCTGCTCTGACAACATGTCATTGTACTTCATACAACTCTATGTAAATCTGTATATTATGCGATGTTATATTATCCTAACTAGCTGTAATGTCATTATGCTATTGTGTTTATAAATATATATATATATTTTATGTATACATGTGTATGGGCCGGTGGCCTGAATGCAAATTTGAAATAAACATATATTTGCAAACAATATGGCTTAATTAACCAAACAAAGAAAAAGGAAATTTTTACATGATAGATTATCACTTTGTCCAGAAGGTAATTTACTTAGTTTGTTACTTTAGCACCCTTGTTCCTGTTGCTTAATCACACAGACATTTGGACAAAGATTTAATACAAACTAAAGTATTTACATTTAATTGTGTTAATTAAGATGTTTTATGGTTAAAAAACTTGCTAAAAGCCTAACAGCTTGTCTTTACTTTAGTGTTAAAAAAGAGTTATGTAAAAAATTTACAAGATTTTAAGAAATAAAGAACAATTACAAATTATTAAAGTTTGAAATGTACAGTTAAGTAATTTTTGTGATTTAGATTTACCCTTGTCCGTCCGTCCGTCCGTTCACTTTTGTGTCGCACGTAACTCAAAAAGTATTTGACCTAGAGTCATGAAACTTTACAGGAATGTTGATCAGCATGTGTAGTTGTGCACCTGGGTATTTTCGTCTGGATATTTTTAGTATTTTCAGAGTTATTGCCCTTGACTTAGTAAAATTTTGCAATTTTCAACTTGTGTCGCACGTAACTCAAAAATTATTTGACCTAGAGTCATGAAACTTTACAGGAATGTTGATCAGCATGTGTAGTTGTGCACCTGGGTATTTTCGTCTGGATATTTTTAGTATTTTCAGAGTTATTGCCCTTGACTTAGTAAAATTTTGCAATTTTCAACTTGTGTCGCACGTAACTCAAAAAGTATTTGACCTAGAGTCATGAAACTTTACAGGAATGTTGATCAGCATGTGTAGTTGTGCACCTGGGTATTTTCGTCTGGATATTTTTAGTATTTTCAGAGTTATTGCCCTTGACTTAGTAAAATTTTGCAATTTTCAACTTGTGTCGCACGTAACTCAAAAAGTATTTGACCTAAAGTCATGAAACTTTACAGGAATGTTGATCAGCATGTGTAGTTGTGCATCTGGGTATTTTCGTCTGGATATTTTTAGTATTTTCAGAGTTATTGCCCTTGAGTTAGTAAAATTTTGCAATTTTCAACATGTGTCACACGTAACTCAAAAAGTATTTGACCTAGAGTCATGTAACTTTACAGGAATATTGATCAGCATGTGCAGTTGTGTACCAGGTATTTTCGTCTGGATTTATTTAGTATTTTTAGAGTTATTGCCCTTCACTTAGAAAATTTTTGCAATTTTCAACTTAAGTCGCAAGTTTCTCAAAAAGGATTTGACATAGTCATTAAACCTTATAGGCAGGTTGCTCAGCATATTTTTAGATTTGCATCTGGGGTTTCGCTTGTGGATTTTTCCAGTATTTGTAGAGTTATTTCCCTTGACTTAGTAAAAAGATTGACAGAACAGTGGCGCGGTGGGGGCACCCGTGTCCTATGGACACATTTCTAGTTCAAAACTATAATAAAATATTTCATAAAATGACAAATTAAACATAATTATACATACAAGAAATATTTAATTATTATAATTATATTATTACAATATATTGAAAAACAAATTTAAAGCAACTCATAATATATACATGTATATAAAAAAAAGATTACTTATAAAACAATTTCTATAATAATTTCATATGATTTATGATATGAAATTATTACGTAATACAAGAGTATGGACAATTTTTTGGCTTTCTAATAATTCCCCCCTGCTTTATGACTTTGGTTTCCAAAGTTTGAAATGTAGAAATGTTTAAAGTAAATGAAAACACACATATAAAGCAATAATATATAATGTTGTAAAATATTTCATAAAATAACAAATTAAACATAATTATACATACAAAAAATATTTAATTATTATAATTATATTATTACAATATATTAAAAAACAAATTTAAAGCAATTTATAATATATACATGTATATAAAAAAAAATTACTTATAAAACAATTCCTATAATAATTTCATATAATTTATAATATAAAATTATTACGTAAAACAAAAGTATGAACAATTTTTTGGCTTTCTAATACAAGTATGCTTCTGAAGGGAAGATTATAAGGTTGACAATATATTTTACAACAAAAAAGTCCCTAAAGAACATCTAAAATGGCAAAATTGAAAGTTTTGCAGTGAGTCTGTTGCGTATAGTACTAGAAAGTGTGCAGACTTCCTTAAATGCCCCTTAAGCAGAATTCAATATTAAACAAGTTATTTTTTTACTTTGACTATCTAAAGAATAGGGACAGATATTTTACTAACCTATGATGTGTTGGCCTAATTTTTGTAAATTTAGCATTATCATTATCACATGATACGTGAAAAAAATGAAGTTAGCCTTTCACTTTCAGCACTTTGGATTTTAAAGATATTAATCCATTTCCCTTTGTATGTATCAAATAAAAACAAAGCATGTACAATATGTTAACCATGGTATGATGTTCTTGATGTGTCTTTAGTCTGGTTCTATGCTTGATGTTTATTGTAGACTGTGTCACTGTATGATTATCATAATCATCGTCTGGAAGACAGGTGGACTGGGCATTCAAGGGAGATAACCAAGGTGATTTATGAAAAATTGAAGCAAAACTGGAAAGGTTTAAAGCAATAAAACAAAAGTGTTTATCATTTGATAATAGCACATGTTGATTTCAAACAGACCAGAAGCTACATGTATTAATTAACATATTGGCCAAGAAATGAATTCTTGAAAGTGATTGAGAATTAATGTGAATTTTAATTCTTCTGTATATATTTACAATTATCATATGTAAAGTTTTTGGATTTTTTGGCTCTAACACAATGAGCAGTACATAATGACTAAAGAATATTTTATCTGTTTCTAAACAAAATATGGGGTCCACCCACGAACATCTGATTTGTAATCCAGGGGCCGCTGGTACAATCCTCAGGTGAGACCATTTTTTTTTTGAGAAAGTTGATTTCTGACATTGAGTCTAATAGTCATTTGTCTCTGTCAATTGATTCAGAAATCATGGTTGATTAGAAGTCGGTCACTTGCAGGGAAATTGACATTAACTGGTTAGTTATCCAGACTCGCCAGTTTGGTTGATCAACTGCCGAGATATGATAAAAAATAAAATGTACATTATATTAAAATTGGCATAAAAAGCAAACAACAGAAAATATGTTTAATTTAATTTATTTTGTATTCTTATAAAATTTCTCCAGGTGTACTATGGTTTACAATGTCAAGGTATATTTAGTGCATCTAGAGATAGAACAGTGAAACTATGGAAACGAGGTAATGCCAGCCCCATGCGAGAATATGACGGCCATGATTTAGTTGTGTCAGCAATTCATCTTAATAAAGGTATGTTGTTCAGGCACATTAGCATACAGAGGCACACTTTAATTAAAGTATAGGTTTTTTGCACACTTACACATACATGCACATCTGCCTACATAGGTACCCTTAAACAAGAATTTCAGGTTTTTAGCTCGCTTATTCAAAGAATAGGGAGAGCTATTGTACTCATCACAGGTGTCCGCGTCACACTTACCTTAGGTTAAGTTTTTGCATGTAAGCTCAAAAAGTACTGAAGGGAATACAGTCGACTCTCGTTATCTCGAAGTCATCGGGACCGTCCAAAAAATATCGAGATAACGAAATGTCGAGATAAACATATTAGGGTTTGAATAAGACAGAAACCGATTTTTACAAAAGACATGTGCATACCTTATGTCAAATAAACTATGATATCCCCAAGTCTTGTTTTCGTAGGCCTAGCCAATATTTAACAAAGTAACATTATCGGATGTTTACCAGCGGAAATACGGGTGTCTGTGATAAAAAACACAATGAGGTTTACTCAGTAATATTCCAATATAGTGAAAACATTTTTTAAGGGTGGTTGATCCGGATATCCTCCCTGATTATTTATCGGGTCTTTCTCGCGATTGTTCGACCGCTGATTGATTTGGTGGTGATGTTGCGAAACAATATTGCAACGATAGCGTTTCTATACTTTCATAATTAATTTTCATTTACATTTAAAAACATAATGAATTAATACAGTGTTCGAATATTTATAAAGAACGTAAAATTCACTCATTTTGGACATAAGTCAATCAACACGCTAAATAGATTAACTTTTATAAAAACAGCTAAACTTGTTACAAACATAATCATCATTATGACACATGCTATTGAGCAATTATCGTTTAGTTTGTGTTTTTCACACGTCTGAAGGGAACAGACGAAAGAAAAGTTTAAGTCGAGATAAACAAAGGATAATTGTGTGAAAATAACTGTTGGGGCTGAAATTTTACATCGAGATACTGAAAATATCGAAATAATAATATCGAGATAAACAAATATTTTTAATATAGATAAAGAAGGAAGAAAATCGGGACTTTCAAAATTTCATCGAGATAACGAAATATCGAGAAAAGCGATGTCGAGATAACGAGAGTTGACTGTAGTTTGAAACTTCACACACTTATTGAAAGCACAATATGAGGTTGCTGATCAAGGTTCAAAACTCTAACATAGATTTTGACAAAATTATGGCCATTTTTGAACTAAGAAAATTTTACATAATCCAGGCTTTTGTTTTACTATCAAGCACTAAGAATAGTTATGTTTTTATACCAACAGTTATAATTGTTTGTTTCGAACTTGGCCTATCAGCACAAAAAAAAAAATTATGTTTAGTCCTATTGTTCATTGATTGATAAATAGTGAATATAAATAACTGTATGGAATATTTTATTCAGAAATAATACTCTGTTATAAAAGTACATTTGAATTTCTTTCTGAACCAGAAACAACTTAACATAACTAGAAGAAAAATTAGTATACCATCATTATAAACTAGAAAGAAAATATTTAAATGCCATTGGAAAAAAATTTTTTATTTGAAATTTGCTTTAATAAACAAATCCTTATGAGTAACAAAATGTATATGCTGGAAGTGTTGGGGTGTTTGACAGGTTAAGGGTGTTGACTCCAAACCACTTGCCCCTCACTGCTGTGGGTTTGAATCCCGACAGGGACTTTGGATTCTTTCATGTGAGGAAGCTATCCAGCTAGCTTACGGAATGTCGGTGGTTCTACTCAGGTGCCCGTTTGTGCCTGAAATAATGCACGAAAGGGCATCTGAGGTCTTCCTCCATCATTAAAGCTGGAACGTCACCATTTAATCTATACTGTGTCGGTGTGACGTAAAACTCAATTAAACAAACAAACAAAATTTTAAGTAATAAATAAAATGTTTTGTTACTACCACATTTTACCTTTCAGAAAATAGTTTATTTTAGTTATCATAGCGGACAAGAATATTTTCATTGTAAATAATTTATAAATAAAATGTTTTGACTTGACCTTATTTTACCTTTCAGAAAATAGTTTATTATGCACTGGTTCACGAGACAATACCATCAAGTTATGGGATGTTGAAAGTGGAAATTGCCTGAGGGAAAATAAGACCTCCAGAAATCTAGTAAGCTCTTGTCCACTACAATAAATATAAAAGTAAATTTAAAAAAAAAATAGGCTTCGATATTGGAAATTATCGCATGACGTGGCTTTTTCTCGGCTGTTTTATGCTAGTGACATTCTTTATTGGTAATAATGCACAGTGCAGTATCTCAGATAATGCATACTTCTGCAGAAAAGTGTTCATTATTTCAAATAAAGCACAGTTATGTGAATTCATTTGGTTCATGTATAGCCGTGACTGTTGACCAAAAAAATAAAAATATAAAAATAACAAGAGTCACTGGACTAAAACTGGACAAAATCTCGGACAGAAAAATGAGGAGTATATTCAGATTGGTATGATAGATAATGGGGTATGAGTAAGTAAGTAAGTAAGTAAGTAAGTAACGACTTTATTTTATGAGGCTAACACATTCAGTTTCCCGATCTTCCATGCGGGCCTCAGTATATACAACACAACATAAAATACAATCAACATTTAGACAACATAAATATGTACATTAAACATCATACCAATACAATAAATAAGTAAACAATTTTTTCTTCTTACATAGAGAAGTGACATTTTCATAACTTCAGCATGGAAAGTAATATGTTTTTTTGAAACAATAATGTACAAACAATTAGTTACAAAATTGCCACTTGGATATAGGAGGATTGAAATTTCCTCAGGGTATCAGAATTTCGAATATGGATTGGTATGCTGTTCCATACCACAGGACCAGAGTAATTAAAAGATTTTCTAAAAAATTCTGTTTTTGGTTTGGGTAGCAGTTAGTTTTTCATTTTGTATAGATCTTAAGTTAAAGTCATGTTTGTCAGTTATTGTTTGGAATTTATTTTTCAATATAAATAGGAAAGGAATGGTTCATTTATAGATTTATACATGAGGATTGCCTTTTTGTACATAATTCTTTGATCAAAGGACATCCAATTTTAATTCTTTAAATAGAATATTTGATGGGGTATCAAAACTTTTGTCTAAAATAATTCTTGCAGCTCTTTTTTGAAAGTTCACAATTTGCGAAAGTAATTTCACTACTGCAGTTTCCCCAAATAGTGCAACAGTAGTCAATATGTGGCAAAATATAAGCATTAAAAAAGAGTTTTCTGGAGTGGAGATCAAGGTACTGTTTTGATTTCTAAGAAGCAAATAGAGCTGTGAATTGCATTTTTTAATAATATTTTTGAATTTGTGTTTTCCATTTAAGATTTTTGTCAACCTGGACTCCTAGCAGTTTTTCAGTGTCTGTAAATTCTATCTCTTTGTTTTGAAGGTGCAGAGTAGATGAAGCAGTATTTTTTGATTTTAGTATTTTTTAAAGAGAAAATTTATGGCCTTAGTTTTTTGTGCATTTTAATATCATTGCATTTTGCCTACACCATGTGCTAACACTATCAAGATCAGTTTGAAGATTATAATTCATTTCCGTTAAAGTACTTCCAGTAGAAGTAAGGGAAGTGTCGTCTGCAAACATATCGGTAGTTGACTGTTTAACATGAAGATGGATGTCATTTATGTATATCAAAAATAGTAGGGGCCCAAAGGACTGAGCCCTGAGGCACTCCTGAGACAACTTCAGCTGGTTCAGATAAAACACCAGACACATTGACTTTTTGTGACCTGTCTGATAGATAAGATCTTATCCAATCTATAGTATGTGAAGAGAAATTATAGAAAGGTAGTTTTTCTAGAAGAATTTGGTGGTTTACTAAATCAAAGGCTTTTGGAAAGTCTAGAAAAACAGTTTCCGACAAGTTTGCCATCATTCAGAGCGCTGATCCAATTATCAATTATATTTGTAAGAGCTGTCTCAACATGAATGATGTGCCCTGAAACCTGATTGAGCAGTGTAAAGTAAATGGTTTGTTTCTAAATAGAGCTTTTAAGTGGTCTGATACATGTTTTTCAATTATTTTAGAGATAAGGGAAGTACTGAAATTGGTCTGTAATTATTTTTTGTCTCCCTTTGGTCCTTTTTTGTAAATTTGGTGTTACCTTTGACTGTTTTTAGCTGAGTTATTTGGAAATTTTCACTTTCTATGCTTAGATTTAATAATACTACATAGAGGTTTTACTTATGACATCAGCTGCTGTTTTTAGGAATTTTGCACCAATACCATCTAGGCCTGTTGCTTTTGTGGCGTCTAGACTATTGAGTTTCTGATTTACATAGCTTAAGTCAACAAAGGGTATTTCATATTTTATTTGACTGATTTGAAATTTTGGATTTAACCGATTCTTGTAGAGCAGTTTTCAATTCATATGATAATCCCTTCTGATACATTTTCAGCTTTTTCAAATACACTTGCAAAGAAAGTATTAAAGGTTTCTGCTGTTAATTTTGGATCAGTTATCGGTAAACCATTCTCATCATTTATGTAAGAATTTTGTTGAACATTTGTTTTGCCTGATAGGTTTTTCAAGTTTTTCCAAAGTTTTTTAGGATTTTTCTTATTTGAGTTTATTTCATAATGAAAGAACGGTTTTGTCTGGAGCATACACTGTAGGTTCAGGTGTTTTTAAATGTTTAATCATTTAATCATCTCCAGAACAACTTAAGACCTAAGGGGAAGTGTTGAAAGCATAATAGGAGGTCACCACTTGAGGTCTATCACTCTAGCTTAGATTTTGACAGAGTTGTAGCCCTTTTTTCATTAAGATTTATACTTTCATGAGCTTTTATTTCTAATTTCAAGGTCACAGATGTGAAGTTTGTTCCAGATTCACATTTACTCGTGCAAACAGGGGAAGATAAGGAGTCAGGTAGGTACCTCAGTATTTAGTCATGTGAGATAGCTATGTAACATAGAAACTGGAGTAATTATTTTTCTTTGTATTATACATTAACAAGAACTGTGTCTTTATCCCATAGTGTTACTGTATTTTACACTATTGTCATGGTTTTACAGTATTTCACTCAATTGCCATGGTTTTACTCTTTTTATTGACTCGTTTGTCATGGTTTAAAAATATTTCGCTTAGTCACCATGTTTTAACAGTATTTTACTCAGTGGCCATGGTTTAAAAATATTTTGCTCAGTTGCCATGTTTTTGCTGTATTTTACTCAATAGCTATGGTTTAAAAATATTTTTACAACTTTTCAAAGATAAAGGCAGCAATCACAGACCTGTATTTTAATAGCATAAAAATCTGCATACATGTTTTATTTATTGTTTATGCATATAGAAATACGTGTACCGCCTCCGTGGTCGAGGGGTTAGAGTCGATGACTTTTTATCCAGTTACCTCTCTACAGGCGTGGGTTCGATCCCAGGGGGATGCTTTGGTATTTTAGCCTAGAGGAAGGTAGTCTAGTACTGGTGTAACTCTCCAGGAACGATGGTTAGTAAACTACCCGCCTATATGACTGAAATACTGTTGGAAAAAGGCGTAAAATGAAACAAACAAACATTTATAGTTGATGGTGATTATAGCAATGTGACTTATCAAATTCTGTTTTATTTTTTATTGTAAATGAACAACAAATATTTTCACCCTCTTTTTCTGTTTTCCAGGTTGTTTGATACACGAACAATGTATGTCGCACACACGTTTCCACGGAAACAGTATATACAGATGAGTTGTGATGTCAGTGCGGATGGTAACTACTGTCTCACGTGTAGTAATGGTTTCGGTGGCAATGGTTGTGAAGCTACGGTAGATATATTTTCAGGTTTTAAAATTGAATCTACATAGTTTTGTCTCATTTTATTGACATTGCACCCCTTTTTGTGTCGCCTCTACGTCTGTCTGTCCGTCCGTCCAACACAAAACTTGTCCAGACTATGCCTCATAAACTACTGGTGCAATTTCATCCAAACTTTACAGGAATGATCAGCACCAAGTCTTGTTGTGCATATTGTCAGCATTTTCCGGTTCAATGATTTTTATCAGAGTTATGGCCCTTTAATAATTTTTATTTTTAAAGTTTGTCCAGACTATTTATCTTATACCACTTATGCAATTTCAATGAAACTTTACAGAATCGATCTGTAGCTCAACTCCTTGCGCATATTGCACGAGTTTTCCAGTTGAATGATTTTTGGCCGAGTTATGGCCCTTTGATAAAAAGGTGTTTTTTTTCTGTGTGTTGCCAGATACACAAAAGCTTGTCTGCACTACTCCTCATAAACTACTGGTGCAATTTTATCCAAACTTTACAGGAATGATCAGTACCAAATCTAGTTGTGCACTGTCCATCTGTCTGTCCGTCTTGTCACAAAACTTGTCCCAACATGAAATTTGCCATCATGAGGCGACACATGTGATCACTGATCGCTCTTGTTGACCCTCAAAACCTGTTTATTGTTGTGTAAATAGGTCATTTGCAATGTGATTTAACAGTCATATTCCATCTGGATTTTATTTTGTAGTATGGCTTGTAGACTCAGTTTGTAGTAACTTGGATCTATTTACTTTTTGTTCAGTTATTTGAATTCAAGACAGTAATTTTTAACACATTTTTACTATAATTTTTTCATAACAAAAAAGTTTTGCTTATCTTAACAAGGTCCAGTTGTTACACAGGGGGTATAAATCTGAAAAGCAGTATTTTGGAGTTGTGCCTCTTTTTAACTTAGAATTTTTAACAGATTAGCATTAAAACATCATGCTGTGCTCTTGTTTTTGTTTCAAACTTTGAAATATTTCAATATTTTGCTGTACATAGTGAAAAATCTTGGAGAATTACAGCAGTTACCTGATATTTACCTGATATTTACCTGATATTTATTTTATATTTATTTTCATTTTCATCAGATAGTTGCCTAATATTTATAATATTTTCATATTCATCATTTAGTTATGGGATCTAAGAGAGTTGAAGATTGTGAAGGAGTTTAAGGGGCATACAGAAGCTATAGAATGTTGTATATTCCTGCCGAATCAAGAGAGGGACCTTATAGCTACATCATCTAGAGACTGTTCTGTCAGAGTCTGGGACCAAAATACTAATGGTATGGTAGTGTTTTGACAATATTGGATGTATTTAACATGGAATATTATAAAGCTGCAAGCCTCCAGATTCATACTTATTTTCACAAAAAAACTTGAAAATGTGAAATACATGTTTTGTGAAATGAACAAAGAAAGTTAATTACACAATGCAAACAACACTTACAATCCAACAAAATTACTTAAAAGAGCTCAGTATATGCAAAAATAGCCCTAACTACGTAAGACATGCAGTAGAAATATGGAATCAATTAATAAAAGTCATTAATTGCCCATTACATGTAAATTATCACTTAAATCTTTTTACTTTTCCAAACATTATAGTTCATTTTTCTCAAGTTTATCTTGAAATAGTTTGGCTCTTCTGGAGGCATGCAGCTTTAATTTAAACTTCTATGATATTCTATGGCCAAAAGCCTTTTTTAGGTTCACAAATTTAGGTTCAAGTCCAGATAGTTTGCAAATGCAGATGGTTCTTCTTGGTGTCTGCCTGAAATAATGCATGGAGGGGCTCCTTATGTCTTGCTTTACAAATAAAGCCAAAAAAGTGCCTTATGACTTTAACAGTTTAAACCAACTTATTATAATTACATATTTTTATGCTCCTCGAAAAATTTCCGGGGAACATATAGTTGGCGCCTTGTCCGTCCGTCCGTTGTCTTGTCCGGAGCATAACTTGAAAACCTCTGGAGATAATTTGTTGAAACTTCATACAGTGGTAGAGGGCATTGAGGGGGAGTGCAGTGTCAAAGATCCATAACTCTATTTTGCCCGGTTTTTTAATTATCTCCACTTATAGAAATATCTTGTCCGGGGCATAACTCTAAAACTACAAGAGATATCAACATGAAACTTTGTAGGTGAATAGATCTAAATGGGTAGATGTGCAGTGCATAAGAACAATAACTCTTTTTGTCCTAATTTTGGAGTTATTGCCCTTTGTTAATTTTAACACTTTGAACTTTGTCCAGAACATAATTCTAAAACTATAAGAGTTATCAAGATGAAACATTGTAGGTAGATAGATCTCATTGAGTAGAGGTGCAGTGCAAAAGAACCATAACTCTGTTAAGCCTCATTTTTGAATTATTTCCCCTTTGAGAAAAATCTTGTCAAGGACATAGCTGTAAAACTATAAGAGATATCAACATGAAACTTTGTAGGTAGATATATCTCAATGAGTAGATGTGCAGTGCACAAGAATCATAACTCTGACTTGCCTAATTCTGGAGTTATTGCCCTTTGTTTATTTTTACTTTTTTGAAGTTGTCCGGGACATTACTCGGAAATCATAAAAGATATCATCAAGAAACTTTGTAGGTTGATAGATCACATTGATTAGAAGTGCAGTGCAAGAACAGTAATTCTGCCTTGCCTAATTTTGGAATTATTGCACTTTGAACTTTTCCCAGGGACATAACTCTGAAACTACAAGAGGTGTACTTTCCTGGGTCCAAAACCTATCGGGGAGCATCACCCGGCTCAAACCGGGCTCTTGTTATTTTTTTTTAATGGTGTGATGACTTTTATCAAAGAATACAATGACAACTTTTCCTCATGCAAGATTTTGTATTTATATAGACTTTATAGATGTTTTCATAGAAATAGTGAAGTTAGTGTTCTCACAAACAAACATATGGAAATATGGTTTAACAGATAGCTATTGATTTTTATGCATTAACAATGGTCAATGTGTTGTTTTGACTGTTTTTTTGTTATTGTTTTTTTGTTGTTTTTTTGTTTTTTAATACAAATTTCCTTTTTTATATGAACACAAATCCAGCATAAAATTGTTCATTTAAAAAGTATTGGTTTATTACAGACTGTATAGCACGGTGCACAATAAGTGGATCAGGACCTTTAACATCCCTAATAGCTTATGAAGATAACAGGTAATTTTGTTGTGTGAAATATTTTCATAAGTTATTAATCTTGTAATTCAACTAGGTAGGATTGGTAAAAATGTATTAAAGGGTTTAAAACTTCATATTTTATGAAATATTTTTTTATGATATTTATATATGGTAAAGTATGCTGTTTCCATAATCTGACCACCTTGTTGCTGAGGGATTGCCTTTAAGGGTTGAGGCACCAGAATTGCAGTCACCAATTATCCCTTTGTGAACGTAAGAGACAACTAAATAGGTTCAAATTACTGAAGTCTATGGATCTCCTAGGTGCAGCAGATGAGCTGGTTTTGACCTGTGGTGTTACTTAAAGTTTGTAACATCCGGGGTTATCCAAAATCATCTTTCCTGTTTGAGCTCCATATGACCTAAATTGTGTTGGTGCACCGTAAAACCAAAAACAAAATGAAACTTTTCAAGTAATAAGGTTATGTAATTTTTATGCCCCCACAATGTGGGTGCATATAGCGTTGCACTTGTCCGTCCGTCCGTCAGTCCGTCAGTCCGTCCGTCCGTCCGTACGTCCCGAAATCTTGTGAACGCAACTCCTCTAAAACCGGGAGGCAGATTTTGCTTAAACTTACAGGGATGAACAACCTTAATGTGTAGATGGTAGTAAAGGAAGGAATTTTTGCTGTGACCAAATGTAACAGAATTATGGCCCTTTGTTGATTTTTTCCCTAGATACTTTGTAGAAATTTTGTGAACGCAACTCCTCTTAAACCGGGAGGCAGATTTTGCTTAAACTTACAGGGATGAACAACCTTAATGTGTAGATGGTAGTAAAGGAAGGAATTTTTGCTGCGACCAAATTTAACAGAATTATGGACCTTTGTTGATTTTTTCACTATATACTATGTAGAAATTTTGTGAACGCAACTCCTCTTAAACTGGATGGCAGGTTTTGCTTAGACTTACAGGGATAAACAACCTTAAGGTGTAGATGGTAGTAAAGGAAGGAATTTTTGCTGCGACCAAATTTTACAGAATTATGGCCCTTTGTTGATTTTTTCACTATATACTATGTAGAAATTTTATGAACGCAACTCCTCTTAAACTGGGTGGCAGATTTTGCTTAAACTTACAGGGATGAACAATCTTAAGGTGTAGATGGTAGTAAAGGAAGGAATTTTTGCTGCGACCAAATTTTACAGAATTATGGCCCTTTGTTGATTTTTCACTATATACTATGTAGAAATTTTGTGAATGCAACTCCTCTTAAACCAAATGGCAGATTTTGCTTAAACTTCCAGGGATGAACAACCTTAATGTGTAGATGGTTTTAAAGTAAGGAATTTTTGCTGCAACCAAATTTAACAGAATTATGGCCCTTTGTTGATTTTTAGTTTTCAACTTGTGGCACATGTAGTCCAAAAAATATTTGACCTAGAGTCATAAGATTGACAGAACAGTGGCGTGTGGGGGCATCCGTGTCCTATGGACACATTTCTAGTTTATCATTGATTGTAATGACATGAGGATAAATATGCTATGTTCTTTCTTTTCAGTATATGTGTGTCCAGTTTTAATACAGGCATCCATGAACTTAATTTATCTGTCCAAGACGGTTCCCTATTACAGCGCTCATCATTTTAAATCAACACTGCCAATAAAAGTGCCAATAAAGCGCTTATAAAGCACATGTTGTAAATTTCCATTGGAAGTGTGTAGGAAACAGGCACTAAAAGTGTGTAGTTAAGTGGTGCTCCAGAACGCTTTCAAGAAGTATTGTGTGTGGTTTTATGTACAATGTGTTAATTTGCTGTGACCTTTTTTTCCGGATTTTGTTGTGTTTATGCCTCTAGTTTGTGGTTTGAATCTCTGTTTTTGTTGCCAAAAGTCAAAACATATCAAAAAATTTTTTTGCTTTTTTCTATTTTACATTCCATTAAAATGTTTACCTTACATTCCATTTAAAGTGTTTATGTGTTTAAAAAATATGTACATGTATAATGTATTTTATTTAAAGGCACATTATGCCTCAGAAACAAAAAAATATTTACTTTTTCAGAAAGGGCAAACATGAATTTTAATTTTTATAATGATTAAATAATGGTTTTAAAAATGTTACATGCTTTTACCTGAAGAAAGTAGTGATACATGTGAAATAATTTATCATAAAAGTAGCAGAATGTGAACAAAGTGCATGTTGTATTTTGACTTCCATACCAAATACTAATTCATCATAACTGCTCTTATTGCCAAAAAGTAACAGGTGAAAAAGATGGTTCAGGTAACTGGCCAATAAATAACGTTTTGGAGACTTATATATATAAGTACAACAAAATTAAAAGCTTTTGAGAAAGAGAAAAAAGCATTTCTGAGGCATAGTGAGTCTTTAAAAAGAAATATTATATCACTCGTTGTGATCATAGTGATCATTACAATGTAGGTACTAGTATGTTTGTTACTTAGTTGATTACTTTATAACTGCTTGTTAACTATATTTACTAAGTAAATATTAAAGTTTATAGTATGATTGAAACTGTGTTAAGAGTGACTTCTTTAAAGCAGCACGCCTCCATATTCATGCTAATTTTCATGAAAATTTGAAAATTTCTGTTAAAGTATAAGTATGTGAAGTTATAAAAAAGAAGCAATATTGACATTATCAATAGCACTTACAACCCCGTATATTACCAAAAAAGGGGTGAAAATATGCAAATATTGCCCTTACTGCATTAGTAACGCAGTAGAAATATACATGTAGTTAAAAATAATGAAAATTCAGTCATTAACTGCACATAACATTTGAATTATTTTTTTAATCTTAAAGATTTCCGAAAATCTTCGTGTATTTTTCTCATGTTGGATTTTATTAGAATATTTGGGCTTATCTGGAGGCATGTAGCTTTAACAGGTAACAGAATTTTGTTATCATTGTCAAAGAGCAAAGATTTTAAATTTGGATTAATTTTCTGCACTGCAAAAGGTGAATGTATTTCGTTTATAATAATAATAAAGGCTTTATTTAACAAGGCTACATATTCGCCAAAACGATCTTCCATATGTACCTCAACATATTTACAACATATTTACATCAAATAATTGTACAAAAGACAATGTAATATTATAAAACATAGCATTAACTAGTTATAAATGCAATGACAAACTAAACATAAATATTAACCATTAACAATGAAAACTGCAGTAAACATAATTACCGGTATACAAAAATAATACTTATGGTACTGGTTTAACCAGAGTACTTGCACTTTATGTAAGTTTTTTTTAATTTTTCAGTACTTTCAGACTGACGTACATAGAGTGGTATATTATTCCAGATTTTAGTTCCAGAATAAGAAAGTGATTTACGGTAAAACTCAAGATTAGGTTTAGGGACATGTAGATTAAGATTGTTTGTTGATCTGAGATTTCTGTTATGTAAAGTTGAGACAAAATGAAATTTTTCTTTCATGTAGCATGGTGAGTTTTCTTCATGTAATGATTTGTATATCAGGATAGCCTTTTTGTACTCAACCCTGTCATTAAATTTCATCCATCTTAATTCTTTGAAAAGAGGTTCAGATGGTGCATCTGCAGCTTTATCTAGAATAATGCGAGCTGCTCGTTTTTGAAATTTTAGCATTCTCTCAAGAAGTTCTTTTGAGCAATTTCCCCAAATTGAACAGCAATAGTCTATATGAGGTAAAATATAGGCATTATAGAAGTTTCCTGGCATGTAAATTAAGATATTGTTTTAACCTTAAAAGAAGATAGAGATTACTATTGGATTTCTTTATTGTTTGTTCCACTTGAAGTTTCCACGTTAGGCAATTGTCAACTTGTACTCCAAGAAGCTTTTCAGATTCAGTGAACTCTATATTATTGTTAAGTAATTGAAGTGGTGTACTTGTTGATGCATGAGTGTAATGTTGGGTCTTTTTTGAGGTGAATATGTACATAGCTTTGGTTTTTTTGTCTGTATTAGGTATCATAGCACTGTGAGTGCACCATTCTTGAAAAGAGGTTAGGTCTTTTTGAAGTTTTACATTTAAAGTTTCAGTGGAACGTCCTGTAGCACTAATTGTAGCATCATCTGCAAACATATCCATTTCTGAGTGTTCAAGATGTAAAGGTAAATCATTTATATAGATCAAGAATAAAATGGGCCCTAAGACAGATCCTTGAGGTACTCCAGCTGATACACCCAAAGACTCAGATGTGGTGCCTGACACAGAAAGACTCAGACGTGGTGCCTGACACAGACACCTTCTGAGATCTTTCTGTTAAGTATGATTGAATCCACTGTAATTTATGATCTGAATTGTTATAACAACTAAGTTTTTCAATGAGTAGTGTATGGTTAACTAGATCAAATGCTTTTGTTAGGTCAAGAAATATGGTTCCTACAAGATTGTTGTTATTGATTTGATCAATCCAGTTGTCTACTATGGATGTTAGACCAGTTTCACAAGAGTGACTTGTTCTAAACCCAGATTGTTTTTGATGAAAAAGGTTATTGTCTTCAAGAAATTGTTTGAGACTATCAGATACATGATTTTCAATGATTTTTGATAAAACAGGTAAAACAGAGATTGGTCTATAGTTATTTTTATCAAATTTAGACCCTTTTTTAGCTCGACTATTCGATAAGAATAAGTAGAGCTATTGCAGTCACCCGAGCGTCGGCGTCGGCATAACCACTTATGTTAAAGTTTTTGTAATAGTTCAAATATTTTCAAAGTCCATTGACATATGGCTTTGAAACTTTGCACACTTGTTCACCATCATGACCCCAACCTGTAGACAGGAGGAGGTAACTCTATCAAGCATTTTGACAGAATTATGCCCCTTTTTAGCTCGACTATTCGATAAGAATAAGTAGAGCTATTGCAGTCACCCGAGCGTCGGCGTCGGCGTAACCACTTATGTTAAAGTTTTTGTAATAGTTCAAATATTTTCAAAGTCCATTGACATATGGCTTTGAAACTTTGCACACTTGTTCACCATCATGAGCCCAACCTGTAGACAGGAGGAGGTAACTCTATCAAGCATTTTGACAGAATTATGCCCCTTTTTCGACTTAGAATTTACGTTAAAGTTTTTGTAATAGTTCAAATATTTTCAAAGTCCATTGACATATGGCTTTGAAACTTTGCACACTTGTTCACCATCATGACCCCAACCTGTAGACAGAGGAGGTAACTCTATCAAGCATTTTGACAGAATTATGCCCCTTTTTCGACTTAGAATTTACGTTAAAGTTTTTGTAATAGTTCAAATATTTTCAAAGTCCATTGACATATGGCTTTGAAACTTTGCACACTTGTTCACCATCATGACCCAACCTGTAAACAGGAAGAGGTAACTGTATCAAGCATTTTTTTTACTATCAAGCACTAAGAATAGTCGAGCGTTGCTGTCCTACCGACAGCCCTTTTTGTAGATTGGAATTATTTAAGCCATTTTAAATGCAGAAGGAAATGTACCTGTATCATTACTTAGGTTATTATTTTAACCACATGGCTTGAGATAGCATGGCAGCTAAGTTTTAAGAAACGAGCACCTATTTGGTCAAGGCCAGTAGCTTTGCTTCTGTCTAGAGTTTCAAGCATGTTCCTCACAAATGTTTCAGATATTGGGGGAATTCGAAACAATTGGTCAGTTTTGAAACAAGTTGAATTATGATTTCTCAGTCTAGTTTTGTATGATTCGGGATAGTTATTGACATGAGGTGCCCTTTTAAAAATACTTGTGAAGAATTCATTAAATTTCGTTGCGCTTTCAGCAGGATCAGTGATTGGTTCTCCATTTTCATCGTTAATGAATTGAGTTTGAGTATTAGTATTTGTTCCTGATAGGTGTTTTAAATTTTGCCACATTTTCTTTGTATCTTTTTTATTTTCATTGATCACTGTGTTGAAAAAATACTTTTTAGCTTCTGCAGTAAGTTTCTTGACTTTTGAGCAAAGTATTTTATAAGTATCATACAAGTTTCCATTCAAGGTTAAAGAAATTTCTGTATCAAAATAAAAAATTGAGCTACCAACAGTATAGAGCTTGGTTAGACTGCTCTACACTGGTGGCTAAATGCTAATCTCTCTAATGCAAGTTTTGTATGATATGCATTTGCATGTTTAAGAGAAAAAAAATTTTTACACCATGTTATAAGCATTACTCAACATACATGGGTTGTCATTGAGATAAATCTAAAAATAGAGTGTTTAGATTGTGTTCCGATATTATGATACGAAATGAAATCAATATACATGTATACCCCACAGCTTGTTCATAGACCTTCATCACATATAAATTGAATGCTTATTATTGTATAACAAGTACATTTAGCTTTTAGCTCCACAAAGAAAAGACTGGCTATTGTCATAAGTTCTACATACCACACCCTTTTTCAGGTCAAAGGTCAAGGTCAGTAGGACCTGTAATAACGAAAATAAACTGGCCATTTAACCAAAGTGCATTGACCTAGATACTTCAAAGTTTGTATCTTTATAAACCTCAGGTCCTGGGTTCAAGACTTGGCCAGGTTGCATATTTTTATTCTCCCTGTGACAATTATATTGTAAGATTCAGGAAATTGGAAGACATGTAGTAATCCAACATAAAGATCCTGTATGTTGTAATTGAGGTTGTATACCACACTTAAGTGAAATTATATATATGTTTATAATTTTGCTTATAAACAACTTTCAAACATCAAAGACTATGTAAAATATGTGTTCATATAATATGAAATCATTAAAATATATGCATTCATTTCTTATTGAAAAATTTGAGTATGACTTTATATAGAAAAAAAAATTATTACCTCCCTTTATTTACATGAAATGTTAAATTCGATAATATCTTTATAAGTTATGCTTTTTGAAACTTGCAAAATTGATAAATCTTAATTTGAGCATCATATTTATGATATAAAAGCATAAAAAATTTGTGTTACAGGATCTTAAGTGGTTTATCTCAGGTTTGAGACACAGCCAGGCTCAATATTTTTGTCTTTGACAAGTATATTATAAGATTGGTAATTGAATTTTTTGTGATAATTATCTTAAAGCAGCATGCCTTCAGATTCATGCTAATTTTCATGAAAATTTTGAAAATATATTAAAAAGTATAATATTGTGAAGTGAACAAAGAAAATAATTTTCACATTGCAAAACAGCACTTACAACTCATGTAAATTACCAAAAAGGATGTCAAAATTTGCAAAAATAGCCCTTGCTTTGTTAGAAAGGCAATAGAACTATGGTGGCAATATTGCAAAATCTGTCATAAACGCCACATAGCATGGAAATTATTACTTTTATCTTGAATTGTTTTACTTTTCGTATATTCTCAGTAGATTTTTCTCAAGTTTGATTTTCTAGAAATATTTTGGCTTAACTGGAGGCATGCAGCTTTAAAAGTCAAAGTTATTCAGTAGTATTGTTGTTTTATACATATTTGTAGTATTTATTATTATTCTGTTGTTGATTGTTTTGATATAATGATATTTAAACACAAGGGGTTGTGATATTTAAACACAAGGAGTTGTGATATTTAAACACAAGGGGTTGTGAATATACATGAGGCTCTGTCAGTTTGTTTTTAATTCTTGTTGAATTGTTGTTTCACTCAAAGAGAGAGTTACCTGTGATATTAGATTTTAACAGTATCAAATGATTATTAATTCTTTTTCATATGATACTGTAAAATAACACCATATAATATGGTTACATTGAAAACAAGACATTGAATGTATCTCATCAAACTTTTTTTTTTTGCACTCACTCAGTCTGAATGTGTGGGTGGGGGAATGTTGGATATTATAATGTTCATAACATCTGTGATTTTATCTTGCCTTTATAAAAAATAAAATTAACACCCGGATAAAATATGTATTACTTGTTATTGTTCCTTATTTAAATTGAATGAACACACTTTGGAAAGTTTGATGTGACCAGACATCTTTATGTACAAAAAATGTTAAACACACAAAAATTCATGGAATACATAATACAGTTTAAACACTTCCAGAAAAACAGTTGTCAGACTGAAAACAGCCTTCAGTTTTTTTTAGTGCTTACGAGTAAAACAAGAACCATGACGGAATTTTCTTCTGCCTTACAAGGGAAGATAATTCAATAAAATATAGCAGGAGTTACTTGTCATGAATGGTAAATAAAATTGTACATGATGCCCGATACAAGTATTATTTCGTAACTGAGCATTTGATGAGAATTATGACTTAACTAATTACTGTTTCAACACCAATGCTTGGGAATATAATGGACAGCATCACCATTTTCCAAATATATATGTTGTTAAGCTAAATATTCAACATTTCTTTACAAAAAATTTTGATTTTGGAAATAAACTTGGTGGCTGCATGACCGAGTGAGTAACACGTCGTACTAGCAATCTAAGGATCGCTATCTGCGTGGGTTAAAACCCCGTCGGGAACAAGCCATTGTTTCCTTTACACTTATTGCTCAGTACTGGTTGGTTCCAGGAACTGACTGTAAGCTATAAGCTTCCTACACAATTGAAATAAAATATATTCTAAGTAACCATTGAATGGATGTAGAACAACATGTAAAGAACACCAGAGTCGGTTTAAGCAACTTTATTCATCAATAGGTTTCGGTTAAACAATGACATCTATCAGGATAATAATAATAAATATTATATAAACCAAAATTTATCAAAAACAAGACACCTCAATTAAGGTTCCAGCCTCTGAATTGAGGTATCTTTATTGCTAATAGCAGTAAAATAGCTTCCAAATAAATTATGAATCAATCATAAAAGATCTGGTGTTGATCCTCCAAGGTATGTTTTAAGATTTTCTACAGTAGATTTCACTAGTTTACATGGTATTGTTTTCAGTTTCAATCGTCTATAGGCCTCGTATCTGTGACATCCACCGAAGGAATAGAAATAATCTCCACCTTGCCTGCCTGTAATCCATAAAACATCTATAGGTGGCACTTTATCCCTTGTTTCATCATCCTGAAATAAAAAACAGTTCTAAGCTTCACTAAGAATTGTACGTATATAAGTACAGGGTTATTACTAGGATTCCCAAAATAGATGAGTGTGTGTGGATGGGGTGTGTGTGAAGGTCAGAATTTGAACATAGGAAAAGCAAGACAATGGTTATAATGTCCAAAATGGGAAATATTGTCCTGCAAAGAAACATGTACAGAATCCTAGTTTTGAAATCTACGCATCCTGGTGAGCAGCAATAAACATGCGTACCAGGATGACAGATCATGAGTCACAGAGAACCCTGAGTAAATACATGTAACATACAAAACCTCTATGTTTTACTTTAGTCATATAAATTAACCTTTAAGACAAAGATAATTTGTTGAAAATTGTTTACCATAATCAACAGTGATTATCATGCCATGACCATCCCCTGAACTATAGGTTATATACAGCAACATCAGATTATTATACAATTATACCTTCTCTCCCTTCTCTATGACAGTACAATGTTCCCCCTCCTGTACTTACCAGTACTCCCTTAGCTACATATGTGCCTCAGTGAAGTCTGTATATACTAAAAAATATAGATCTTGCATTGTATACACGTCTCACCCAAGTTCCCCAGCCCCCTTGATTTCTGTCAGACAGGCTTGTCTGACTGACAGAAGTTTGCTCATCAGGCTTTTAATGTGTATTATTGTTTAGAATATGCTATACATGTATTTAACAGTTTAAAATAAATGTATTTAAATTCTAAAAAATGAGGAAAGGCTGAAAATATTACAAACCATTATGGTTTCCATCAGTGATGCTACTTTACTCTCATCTAATATGGATGGTATAGGTCTGATCAAGACATCAATCGGTACATTATGTACTTCTTCTACATGGTTGGAATGTACACTGTCAATTTCCAGATTTCTGTCACACTTGTTTTCTGCCATGCTTTTGTCAGATTTACATTTTGTCACCGAGTAAACATCGTTGTAACCGGGAGAGATAATTCCACTGGAATATTTCTCACTGGCTTGCACATAAACAATAATGTGAAACGTTAAAAATACTGTATCCAGAAATGAGGAAATTATTTGACAGCTGTTCCGCATCCCTGAAAACGGAAGTAAACATTAGTGCATGATACAATATATTGATTACTTCCCTTTATAAAAAGACGCCATTTGCAAGGAATCAAGATATTTTTCACGTAATTTGCGTTTAAAACATTGAAAGGTAATTACAATTGATTATACAGTATGTATGTTGATTTTAGAAAATATGAAATATTTTCACATTGATCTAGCACTTGCAGAATAGTGGTGAATGTGTAGACCACATAACTTTTAGCTTTGTTGAGATGAGATTTCTGAATCTTGAGTCCACAAATTCCACAATAGCCTCCTCTATGTTCTGGTTCAGTGGTTCCGATATATATAATATTTTGAAGCTTACCTTTCTGTAGTTCTGGCTTCCAAAAGATTTATTAGCCACTTTTTAAACATTATTTCTGTTGTCTGATGCTGCTTTTCATGTCATGCCATAGTATATAAACACGCGCCCTGAAGACCTTAAGCTAACATTTCTGCTTTAAATTTAATAATGAAAGTCCTTAATAATAAGATATTGTCTTTGTGTCCATAACACTTGTAAGAGATGTTGACAGTAAACAGATTTAGATAGAATACTTAGTCCTTCATTGAAAGACATTGCACTTTTTTTACAGTTTGACGTTTATCGGACGATAAAGCAGATTTGACCCATGTAAAAAATAGCTTCAAATCCGCGGTTACGTCTAAATATTTGGACAAATAGAATACTAAGACTTTTTGCTTTTAATATAGTAATGTTTAGTGCTGACCAACTTTTAATCAACTTTGTTCACAGATTTATAGATCTATTACTAATAAAAATCCGTGCTTTGTTAGATATGTGCTCATAGTGAGGATTAATCTGTCCATGTCTTTAATGACATGTAATCTGCGATCTGTTGTATATTGTTCTAGTCTTGCAATTGTCACATGTTTCAATGTTTTAAATAAACTCCAGTAATTTCCATCCCAAGACAAAATATTATTATTTCATATTATTATAATATAATATTTTTCGTTTTAAATTTCAGACTTGGAATGGGTGAAGCTAGGCAGAGAGAAAATGACCAACCACCTTTGAAGTCTAAAAAATCTGTTCATTATTCCTTTTTGCGATTTTTGAACAAAACAAACAGAAATGTTGATGTAGTGTGGGTTAACTATGAAGGAGCTCGTGTGAAGTATAAAACACTGACTCCAGAACAGTTCCTTGATATCAACACATTTGCTGGCCACCCATGGATCTTCTTTGACTCGTTGACTGGGGATAAGATGGTTGTACAATTGAAAGAGATTTTTGAGCCAGTTGCATGGAATTCTGACGGAAATGATTGGCCACCTCAGAGAAAAGTTGTTAATATAACAATTCCTGGTAAAAATTTTAGCATGATTCATGAGCATTTATTTTTATTATGATACAGTCAAACCTGTTTTTAAAGACCATCTCTGAATAAAGACCAATCAGTTAGTAAAGGCCACTCTTCAACAACCCTTCATTGACTAGATTGAATAAAGAAACCTCCAAATAAAGACCACTTTTCTATAAAGGACATGTTTGATTTGTCCCTTGGATGGTCTTTGTTTGCAGGTTTGATTGTGTATAACATAAAATTGCCATATTATAAACTTTGAAGAATTATTATTTTGATATAAAGTGATGTCACTGACAATACAGTATGACTCAATGAGGTCTGAAATTGCTAGGTGATATTTGGAATGGTTGCTGAGAGGTATTGTACTATTTGAATTAAAGGCAAATGCAGAATTTTTCATGGTGTAATCTTGAGTATAAAAGCTTTTGTTTTGTTAAGGTTGCGTCAACAAAATCACATGTTGTTTAAATGCTATTGCTTTATTAGTAAGCATATCTCAATGCTCAGTCTTTTACCCAGGATATTTCCCTCATGAGCATATTGTGAAAAATGGCCATTTTCATTGAAAAGCCTCCTGTTACAAGTTCAAACTGCTATGAAACTATGAAAAATTCTTCAATACTGATCAAACTTGGCACAAATGTTGACTGGACCATTGCCTTTGTAACGACATGCTCAGTCCTAAATTTCCTGTTACCATGGCAACGAGGGGACATCTCAAAATTGCCAAAAATCACTATTTTGCCTTGATTTTTTCCATCAAAATTTATTTCAAAGTGCTGCAACTTCTCAAGGGATTAAGATAGAGTCAAAGGCTTTTCAGCGTTGGTTACACTTTACCTTATGAGCAACCTGGGGTCATTTTAAGCCTCTCACAAGTCCAAAATTTTCTTGGCGATGAGGGTGTTTACCGCCCCCCTTCAAACCCCCCAAACAGAAGGGGGCACATCCCCATTCTGGCAACCCCCTGATGTATCTTTTGGATGGGGGGTTGGCGCGAAAAAGTGCTCACTTTTTTTAGCAACATTTCTCAAACGAAAACATGTGTTTGGGGCCAGGACATTTTTTCACTATTTGAGGCCTAAAAGAGGTGGGGGGGGGGGTCGAAAGTGCGTTGTTTCGCGTATATATGAGGTAAAGGGTTAAAGATATTAAATGTCAATTGATATACAAATGTAAGTAACAAAGTTATTTTATCATATGATTTAACATACTTTTTGCTAAATCACAGTGTACAGTCTTCAAGAGTGTTGCTTGATGAAGCTGCGTGGCATTGTACCCAAGGATCGTATAAATGAACTAGAAATCACAGATGTGCTCAAAGAGGACCTCCATAAAATCATGCTCCGTGGAGGTTCTGACGTGATTTACCAGGGCGCTTCATCATCATCATCCGTGACGTGACAGATCATGATAAAGGAATAGTGATTTACATTGTCGTTGTTCACTGCCAGACTATGGGCTGTACCAGGGTTTAAAACAGCAAAAGCCAAAGTCCCCACTTTGTTGGTGGATTGGTGGATAGCGGGTGCATTTGAAAAATTTGCATGATTTTAATATGTTAGCAGTTTGTTACTGGTAGTTGTATTAATATTTATTTCAAATTCTTGCAAACAAAAGTAGTCAAATACTTGCATTATACCAAGATCTCAAATGACTGTGCAATATTTAGTATTACTTTTGGAAGAACAAACAGAGCTGTGTAATTTTTTTTGTTGAATAGATTTTTCTAAAGTTGATTAACATAATAAAACATACAGAAATATGGTGACATAATATAGGAATAAGTTTAAAAATAAAGGTGAAGGTTATAAGATTTAGCAATTTTGGCATACTGAAGGCACATTTTGCCTCATTAAAAAAAATAAAATTACATCCTTTAGAAAGGGAAATCTTAAGTTTTATGATGTTTAAATAATGGTTTTATGTATGTTTGATAACCTGAAGAAAATAGCACTGAATGTGAAAGTATTTGTAATAAAGTAGCAAAATGTCAACAAAGTACTATTTTCACTTCAATACAAAACACTAAGTCACTATATCTGTGCTAAATGCCAAAGCAGACACAAAAGATTGATCAGGTACTTGGCCAATTAGTATATTTTTGAAAACAATAACAGGACACAAAAAAATAAAAAGATTTAAGGAAATAAAAATAAAAACACTTCATGGGCATAACAGGCCTTTACACAACATCAAAATTTATGTCCCCAATTCAAAGGAAAGGAGTTCAATATCACATAATAACTGTGTGGCTTTCTGACTGTAAAAATGATATTACATTGATGTGCATATTGATGCTGGTTATTTTGATATATACATGTACAGTAGAATCTGGAAAAACCAAATCTCCACTTAATCAGATCTCTCAGTAAACTGGACATTTCTCAGGGTCCTGAATTTTTCTCCTTTGTTTTCATTGTATAAAAATCCTCATAAAATGGAAAACTTGGTATTCCAGATACCGGACAAAAAATTGAAATAATTTGTCATCTGTCTACATGGTCTATGAAATTTTACCTTGTATAACATTTTGATTTAGTTCACAGAAGAAACTGTTATGTATTATTAGATATTATGTATTATTCAATGTTATGTATTATTAGATGTAATGTATAATTAGAGATTATTTAATTATTATTAGAGATTATGTTATTAGATGATGTGTATTATTAGATGTTCAAACATCTTTATTACATGCTTTTCGGTGGGTTATAGAAATATATCAGTGAAATAAAACTGGTAATTTCACTGTTTGAAACAGTGAAATTACCACTTTGGTTATTTCACTGTTTTGAATTTAAGCCCCTTACGTTGTTTCAGTAAAATACCAGCATGCAGAGTACTGGGTACCAACTTAATGACGTGATGTCGTAAATGACGTCATGTTGTATTATTATTTGGCGCGCTTTTCATTCAGTATTAGGTTAAATGTCTTTTTAAAACGTTTTTTTTGCATATAATAAAAAGAAAATTTGTTTAGTTTAGTGTAAGATCGAAATATATTACACCTTGTGAACACCAGAGGTTCATATTTCACTCGTGGCTGCGCCACTCGTGAAATATACCTTTTGGTGCTCACTTATATATTCCAATCTTACACTGAACTAAACAAATATCCTCTATATCTTATATGGTGTTTAAAGTGGAGCTATATTATGAAATCTGGTTGAAATTACGTTGATGTAAGCTTGGTTAAAAATTGTGTTGTAACAACTTCAGTACTTGTGGAGATAAATGTGATGAAAGAGTGAAAGAAAACATTAGCTTTTTGTCTGTAATAAGTAATTTGTATTATCACATAAAGAAAGGCACATGAGTGTAATAAAGGCATTTAATAGAAACGAGTGTAATAACATTTTAACGTAACGTCCTTTGTGTTATATACAAACATAGCTTTAAAGCGCGCTAATGTAAGTGTTACACTACAGGCGTGTCAATGGAAAATGACTGTGTTAAACTGTACACTGTTCTTATTTTAGATATATGATACGTAGAATATTATATTCATGTAGATTGAATGCTAAAGTTATTGAACTCATTGCATAAAACAGAATTATGCTCACCAGAGACTCGCATAACATGATTTTATTCAATTTGTTCAATAAATTTAGTATTAAATCAAACCTTATACAATATCCTCTAATTCTGTGAACATTTATTTGTGCCCTATGTGATCGACTATTCGAAGAATAGGAAAAGCTTTTGTACTCACATTGGCTTTGCCATCATACTTTGGTTAAGTTTTTGAGCACAAGTTGGTCTCTCTATAACTACTGAAGGGTCAAACACTTATTTGAGAGTATAATAGGCCACTGTCCAAGGGCAATAACTCTAATCAGGATTTTAACAGAATGATACCATTTTATCCAGGCTCTTGTTTTACTATCAAGCTCTGAGAATAGTAGAGCAAGCTATTCTACAGACAGCTCTTGTAAGCTCTCCTGAACACAAAATTCACAGAGATAAGCTTTTGTGATGGCAATTTGTCCGTTGTATGACCTACAATATACTGTTTGTCCAACATTATACCCTGTTTTCAATAGTTTCATTAAACAAAATCTCCTAAACCAAAAGGTGGATTTTTACTCAAAGTTGGAGCTCTTCAAAAGTTATATAAATGGTTCCAGCCTGACTAAAAAAATGAAATACTTTAAAATCTACAATTTAGAAACTACATTAATAAAAAATGTACAATATTCAGAGCATAGATATTTGGGTATGCAGTTTCACTTTGTTTTTTTTTACTTGTAACATTTCCAAGCAGACATCTACAGATATTTTATAATATACTAAACTTAGGTTACAGATGGTGCACCCTGTGTGACCTTATTACTTATTTCTGAATTTATAAAAAAAGTGTGACCATTTGTAGCAATTTATCCAAGGTGAGTGTTCTAGGGCCATCATATCCATCTTGTTTATGCTTTATTGTGTAACTGATTGTTATGATTTCAGTTAAACTGATGTATCACTGCATATAATAATCACATGTACCATCTATAAATGCCTTCTTTATGTATTACTTTTGTGATTATCTTTTGTCATCACTATTACAAAATTTGTGAAGTTATAATAAACTGTTATTATTTATGAGATTTTGTTACATCAGTTTTAACCCCCTAAGGTTCAAATCTGATATTGAAATGACGTTTTGCATCTTGAAAATGTTAGAACTTGCTGTTAGATTTTGATGAAACTTGGCATGAATGTATGATAAAACAATTAGCGCACCAAGCGTCCTAAAAATCGTCTTTTGCCCTTTGTTACTTATTATTCAGTTATAGCCCTTTGTATTAAAATAACTACATGTCATCAATCTCCCACGCAGTGATCTCCCCTTACAGGATTAGAATGGCTGGAGCGTAACCGATCCGCGGAGTTTGACATGTCATACGTGTTGTTGAGATATGGCCCTTTATTACTGTTGAGTTATTTAGCTAGTAGGCCCTTTGGTATAACAGGACATTTTGCAAAGGGCCATAATTTTTCCGTTTTACGAAGCCATGTCTTAGGCAGTTAGAAACTGCCCATTAAGAATTATATTAACCTTTTCAGGGTATTACTGGAAATATAGTTATTATATAAATGAAGATATGATGCAAAGTAAATGTCATAAAAATCAAATGCATTATTTACCTATGACACTTGGTTACATACCCTTTGAAAGTTACGTTGCCAATATCAGATGTTTCAAAGCCAGCTAGAGTGTTGAGTGTGGAATTGCTTCTCATAAAGACAGCAAAACATAAATAACGGTGGTATATGGAACGCATAGATACTAAATCCCTTTAACTTTATTTTTATGGCTTAAATCAGTAATTTGGTTTATGTTCTACAAGAAGCAATTAATGACTCCATACTAAACACACTAACAAAATACAAGTGTTCGATTCTGGCAAGCTACGTAATTTTGAACAAGTTTTCTCAAGTCATCTCCCGTGTATGGTCTTTGGTTCTGTTTGATATATAGATTTGTACAAGTACGAATGCCTGAAAAACTGTATGAATAAAAAGTCCTTTTTGGGTAGCAAGTTTCCCTTTAAACCGGGGAACCCCTGTATTTTGTAATAATATGCGTTTTTAAATTTGGTTAAAAAATGGGGACACCCGGGGTTTTTGGTTTTTTTAACAAAGCGGCACCTTACAAATTTTTTCCAAAAAAAGTATAAAAAAAACAAAAAAACTGCCCAAAATTTAAAAGTGAATTTTTTGTATTTTCCCCCTTCCAGAAACCCAAAATTTTTCAGCTTCTAAAAGAGGGACTGTACTAAAATTGTATAAAATTTTTTGAAAATGAACGCGTTTTTGTTATTATACTGTATGTACTTTTCCCCGAAAAAAAAGAAGGAGGGTTTTTAGTTGTCTTTCCCCAAATTTTAATTTTTCTCACTTTACCCAAAGACTGAATGACCGGTACAGAAAGTTATGACATTTAATTATGATGGACCTTGCATTAGTAATTGAAAAGTAAAGAAACAAGTAGTTTAACGGGAATGGCGGTCTAATGATTAAGGTATCCCCCTGTCAACCCAGTGATCAAGGGTTAAAGCCCTACTCTGGCTCGACCATGTTTCTGACACCAGTACTGGTTGGTTCCAGGAAGTGGACTCGATGGTGATTAGTATAAGTTGCAATAACTTGTTTCGCGATCCAGATTAAATGAATATGTTTAAACTAAGTAAAGAAGTAATGGATGGTCTTGATCTTGGAACCGCATTTCTTACATGGGTATTTAATTATTATTTTTTTTTATTGTAGCATTAATCCTTAAACGTACAATTGTTTTCACTTAGTAAAAATGTGATATAATTATAAGTTAGAAATGAGTGATATCTAGAGCCTACAAATGTATCATTTGTATGTAAAGATATTTGTTTTTATTAATCTATATCTGTAATATATTCACTTTTGTCACGTAATGTGAATAAATCGTACCCCAACAAAAGAAAATTGTTTTAATCCGGGGCAATGACCTTGATTGGAATTAAGGTCATCCATTTTAAACGTTAGTTTATGTAGCAATGAACGTTATATATATTCGCTGATATAATACCTTCACGTGTATAACGCCGTTTCTTATTTGTTAATCGTGAAGTTTATATAATATATATACACGGCTGTTGTCAGTTAAGTGTTTCTATATATGATTTAAAATAATGCACGTTTGAAATGTCTTCTTTCCTTGGATAATAATGACGTTTATATAGTTTATTTTTTCTCTCAAAAGGAAGTTTATTGTATATTAAATTCGCTATTAAGATTCCTGACAGGTTATATGGCCGTATATATTATTCATTTACTAGTTACAGCATATATGAAAACAACCATTTATATACGGTCATATAACCTGTCAGAACTCTTATAACTAATAGTATAAACATAGCCATCGCCCAGCGGTTTGGGTTATATAAACTTACTGACATTTATACTGAACATATAACCTGTTAAACATC